ACATCCTCTGAATACCAGATACTAACTTTTAAGAGAGAAGATTCAGGGTTATACTGGTGCGAGGCAACCACGGAAGATGGCAATGTCATCAAGCGCAGCCCTGAGTTGGAGCTTCAAGTGCTTGGTGAGAATGAGGGGAACTGACAGGAGAAGGCACAAGGAGAAGATGCTCCCTTTTCTCCTTTGGGGCTGAGGTTTGTTTACGGGGATTTTATGGCCCAGCCAGGAAAAACCCATGAACAGGCTTTTCACTCTTGATTCGTAACTTCACTATTCTCATGAACTTCATTAAATTTCCTTTCCTTTCTCCCTTTATTTCCTTCCTTTTTCATTTCCTATTTTCTCTCCTCTTTCTTTTCCCCTCGCTCCTCCTCCCTACCCCCCACATCTAATCAACAATATATTGAGTTCCTCCCATCTGTTGTTATGGGTGTGGGGATATGAAGACATTGGGGTGCAGTTCTTATTTCAAGGAGCTCACATGGTAGATTGGTGAGGTCGGGATTTTGTGGATTGCATGTAAATACCTACCCAAGTGTGGATCTGGCTGAGGTAGAGAGACTGTGAGCTCCAAAACAAAGACTCTCTGGGAAGAAAGTTTATCTTCAACCCAAATTCATTTCAAGCATCAAATGACATAGAAATAGGCTTTATGCCTGAAACTAGGAAGTTCATCCACTGAGAGGGCCCTTGGCAGTTAATCTCTTACGAGGAGCCTGCCCTGGGTCTGTACACCACATGCCCCCTGAAATTACCAGTGTGTCCACTGGGGGGACAGGCACACCACATGTCAGCCAGCCTTCCCTCCCAAATATAACTCAGCCAGGTCCCTCTGCGCTCTAACTAGCATTTCTTCTCCTTGTCATTTTTCTTTTTCAGGCCTTCAGACACAAACTCTTGTTTCGTTTCACATCCTTTTCTATCTGGCAGTGGGAATGCTATTTTTGGTGGACACCATTCACTGTATGATTATATATAAGGAACTGCGAAGAAAGAAAAAATGGAATTTAGAAATCTCTTTGGACTCTGGTCATGAGAAAAGAGTAAATTCCCACCTTCAAAAAGAGAGGTATTTAAAAGAGCCATAACGGCATGAACAACAGCAGCTGCAAGAAAGGACATACCAGAAGCCCCTGGAGGGAGGGCTGCAGCAGCCCAGCAGGTGCCCACCACGGATCTAGACAGTCCCTTGCCTTCTTCTCTGTGCAAGCACTGGGGTGCAAACATCTGAAAGTTTAAACACATTAGAACTATGAGTCTCATGACAGATATCTGATTAACTCTGAAATAAAGCAAACAAATGAGCTGACTTCAGTGGAGATAAACTTGGAAACTGGGTCATCAGGGATGATCTGAAGTGAGACCTACTCTAAAGAAATCTTTAAAAACTTTTAAGTCCAGTCTAACCTGATTATCCTATGTAGTTTGAGCAATAATATTATTTCTAGGGACAGGGTGAAAAGGTAAGTGTGTGCATATGTACAAGAGATTAAGACAGAAAAGAGACAGAATGAGGGTGAGGAGGAGGCAGAAAAAGAGAGAATGAATACCAGGGATACAAGAGAAAAGCGTGTAGACCCAAAAGCAGGAAAGGTAACTTACAGATAGATGGCTCCTGAGAGACTATGGGTGGAGCACAGACACGTCCTTGGAGTCAGCGTGGTTATTTGGTGGCTTCTCTCTTCAGCCCACGAGCAAGGAATGCATCCACGCAGCTTGGAGAGATCCACGGCAGTCCCTCACCAGGACACATGGGGGCATGATTTTTGCCCTTTCATATGAGGCTTTCTCATAACCTGTGCTCAGAGACACCAGGGGTCCTGCTTGCCTATCCCACTCCCCCGCCCCACAGGAAGACAGAATGTAACTGGGGCTTTCCTTAATAAATGAAACCCAGACCCAGACCTAAGGAGCTTCAGCTGGGGAGGGGCAGTGACATCATAAGGCCCCTGCTCTTACCTCCAGAGATTTACTCTCCCCTTCTGATTTTCTGGATTAACTAAAAAGATAATGCTACTCTCGGGGCACCTGGGTGGCTCAGTTGGTTAAGTGTTGACTCAGCTCAGTTCATAATCATCAGGCTTTGCACTGGGCATGGAGCCTGCTTAAGATTCTCTCTCTCCCTCTCCTTCTGCCCCTCACCCCCCCCAAAAGATAATGCTACTCTCCCACTTGGGCTCTCATTTGGAGGCAAAATATTTTTCTGCTATCTAGAACACAGCTGAAATAAAACTGAAACATGTGAAAAGACTTTATTAAAGCTTAGAAAAAACCAAAAGGGGTATAAACAAACCTAGTAACGAATTCTAGATTTTTTTTTCAGTATTTATTTTTTTAAATATTTTATTTATTTATTTGAGAGAGAAAGAATGAGAGACAGAGAGCATGAGAGGGAGGAGGATCAGAGGGAGAAGCAGACTCCCAGCCGAGCAGGGAGCCCGATGCGGGACTCGATCCTGAGACTCCAGGATCATGACCTGAGCTGAAGGCAGTCACCCAACCGAGCCACCCAGGTGCCCTAGATTTGTTTTTTTAAAACAGTGTAGCTTATCTGCCAAACAAAGATACTTCCCAGCCTAACCTCTGTCCTGGTTCCACATGGCAGGGCTCGCCTTTAACATCCACCACCTAATGCTCTTAAAGCAACTCAGTACTGTGAGGTAGATGGAAGAGCACCTTAGCCCACTGCTTTCCTAGTCTGTGCACAACGAGAATGTTCGCTCTTTCAGAATAAAGTACAGCAATTATATCGCAGTAGTACAACTCCAACATTTAAAAAAAAATTTGAGAGCATGAGCATGAGTGGGGGAGGGGCAGGAGAGAATCTTCAAGCCGACTGCCAGCTAAGCGCAGAGCCCGATGCAGAGTTCTGTCTCATGACCCATGAGACCATGACCTGAGCCGAAACCAAGAGTTGGAGGCTTAACCTTCTGAGCCACCCAGGCACCCCAGTTACGACTGCAATACTTGAATTAAAAGAAATGATCATACATAATAGTAGGAGTTTCATTAATTGCACATAATGTTTGGTCTTACTGAGAAAATGGAAATGAGAATTGCAGGGAATGAGTCACATAGGAAAGAGGCCCAAAGACCTTTGTAGAGGGACCATCTGTAGAACAATCTAACCTGAGGAATTGGGAACTGAAGCAGGAAGTGACATTCACACTCAGAGGAAAGGGCTGACCCTCAGCAGGGTGGATAGAATTTCAGGGAAAGGACTTTCTAAGAGAAGAAGATGGGGCCAGACAGATACCATGACCTGGGGTGGAACTGGAATGGAGACAGTCATTACTAAAGCATCATGAAGTGCTTCCTCCTTCCCCCACTCTCCTCTTTTGTGCTTCCTTTAACCTGCTCTTCTATTTTCGTCACAATTTTTTTCTCACATGTACTTTACTGCTTAAATAACTGATTTGGTTAAATCAATTTTTTTTCCTCTTTTTGTGATTAAATCAATTTCTTAGTTGTGTTGCTGGGTAAACTGGGGAGATCCCAGACCCTGAGGCCTTGACCCATCCTGTCCCAAAGATTAGTCATGAGAAAGAATTCAAGGATCAAGCACAGCAAATGAGCTGAGGGACACTAGCAGGAAAGCTTATTAAAGTCAAAGTACACTCTTGAGATGTGAGTGGGAAAGAGGGGGGCAGGGGACTGTGCCTGGGGATTCAGGTTTCTATTTTTATCAACAGTTGTTAACAAGAGGGTGGAATATTCATTATTTGGGGCAGGATTGGAAGCAGGTTTTCTTGCTTTTTCTTCCTTATTTGGCTAGGGGTTTCCTGTCATGGCACCTGCCATCTTGGGCCTCCCTGGTTAAATCCAGCTTCTTAAGGAGTGCTGGGGACCAGGCCTCTGACATTCACAATGGCTGGCATAACTTCCTCTTTGCTGGCCTCCGGGTATCCTGTTAGAACCTAACTGCCTACTCTAACATTTGAACAATTTGCACTTCAGTCTACCCTTATTTCTGGCCTATAGCTGTGACAGGAATAGGTTCTTGGAGTCTCCCAAATTGATGCCAACCTGCTGGTTCCCCAAGCCTTGGTGCTGGGTCTAGTCAAGGCCTGGTACCACCCCACACTTTCTCCAGGTGGGTGTCCAGCCCTCCAATTTCCCTACAGAGGTTGGGTGCCCTGTCCCTGACACTTGTCTCTACCTATCTAAGGGCTCACTCCTCTTTATTTTTATTCCATCCAGTACTGGAAACACACACAGAAATGACTGGATCCAAGTGGGGAGAGAGGCCCAAAGGGAGAGAAGGGAAGGAACTGCAAAACCCAGCAGAAGGCAAAGTGTCACCTGCTGAGACCCCCCCCCCCCCCCCCCCCCCCCCAAATCATATCCCTCCTGGAGCACCTAGCATGTCTTGTCTGAACAGAACAGGACATTTCAGCCCAAAGCAGGACATGCTTGCGAACAGTATTTGCTCCAGAGCTCCTCAGTGGGTTGGTCAAGGCTTTATCAAGTTTTCGTTGCAGTATGATTTCTTCCACTGCCCAGTCCTACCTCTTCACTCTTCCTTTCACAGGGGTTCATCCTTAATAAACACCTTGCACCCTAAACTCTGTCCAAAATCTGCTCCCAGAGTCCAGTCTGAGTGTTTTGTATGCCAGTGCAAAATTTATAAAGTCTTTGGAGTCTTATAAGACCCATTTGTCCCAATAACACTTCTAAGGACATACATATTTTTAACAGAGAACAAAAGAAATTGGTAAGTAAGAAATATGCACACATGGCTCCATTTTGCACAGAATAAGCTTGATATTCCTGTGAATGTCCTTTGTTTAACACCTTATCAAATTGAGCTGGCTTATGATGCAAAATGCTCTCTCCCTCTATCTGAAAAGGAGAAGGAATATCTTCATGTATTTTTTTTTTTTTTAGATTTTATTTATTCGACAGAGAGAGACAGCGAGAGCAGGAACACAAGCAGGGGGAGTGGGAGAGGGAGAAGCAGGCTTCCCACTGAGCAGGGAGCCCAATGTGGGACTCGATCCCAGGACCCTGGGATCATAACCTGAGCTGAAGGCAGACGCTTAACGACTGAGCCACCCAGGCGCCCTCTTCATGTATTCTGATTGTACTTTATGAATAATGAAGACTTGCATTTTAAGGTCAGCATTCCAAATTTCACTAGTTAGCATTGGAAGCAAAACACAAGCCTGCTAATTTTACTTGTAGAAATCAAGAAACTGATCAATAGAATTTTATTCAATTATGGTGAAACAAGAAACATACAGGACTTTATGTCTCTAGAGTCACCCCCACCCCCCACTGTCATATATATGGATTGCTTTACCCACCTGACCCGTGTCTTCCTGGAGTGTATGAATCCACAGGGATATGTGAAGATGTTCTTGCAGGTACATTGGCAATGACCGTTTAAGACAATAAGGCTCCCAATCCTCAACTTCCATGCACTATCTTCCACTATAGTGTGTGCCTAAGAACATGCCTGCTGTAAATGTTTGAAGCTAGTTCTGCTTTTCTACCTACTCTTTCCCACTCACCCTTCACCCAATTTGCAAAAGAAAGGCATATCTCTTGCTCATCCCGAATCATGATTTATTGCCCTGAGGATTAAAAAAAATCTGTGTAGCAGAGACAAAGGCACTATAGACCAAAGGTAAGTTTCTGTGTCTCTCATATTTATGGGTATTAAGGGCAAAGCTAGGAATTAGAAATAAATATGTTGGCCCAGGTGGAGATGTTCTGAATCCTGGTATATTTTGAGAGGTAAAGCAGAATTTATGACAATTTTCATGTAAAGACCTTGCCTCTTCTTTATTATTATTTAAACAGAACCAACAGCAGCAAAAACAGCTTGGCTCTTGAGGAAGAGTCCTGAGACAAGGCAAAGAGTGTAAGAAATACTGACAAATAACTGCGTCTGATCTCATCTTAGGCAACAAACTTACAGACAGCTCTACACCTGATCTATTCATCTGTGAATCAGGCTGTGTAAGAATAGGCTACCGTTAAAGGTAGCAACTCCTAAATCTCAGCACCTTAAACCAACAGAGGTTTGTCATTCATTCATGTTACACCAGAGTCAAATAAGAAGGCTGCTAAAGGTGGCACTTTCGGGAACATTGCCGGCAGCTGTGCCAGAGCTGAAAGAGAGCATGGAGTATCCCATACCAGGAATTAAATTCTCCAGCCCAGACGTGACACACAACACTCCCACCTCACTGGTCAGAACTAGTTATCTAGCTCCATTCAACCACAAAGAGGCTGTAAAACTCTACAGAAAGCATAAGGCAAGAAGCTGGAAACATCGTGAAAGCACAAACACTATCACGGAGTAGTCGGATATATAAAAAGCATGCTAGAAATTATCAAGTGGCTTCCAAGAGCAGTCTCCCTGCATTTTCAGTAACTGCATTTTCAGTATTCTAAGTAAAGGGCAGGAAGGAGTTGATAACTCGTTCACCCATGATTCAGTGTTTCTCAGTTGCATATTCTGCCTGAATAGAGAGGAAACTTCTTTTACCTCTAACAGATCAACATTACATCTCCAAGTAAAAGGAATGTACAGAAAGTAAGTTGGTGTTATACATTTTCTTGAACAATTTAGAAGAACTTTTCGTTAATTTTTACCAAAAAAAAAAAAAAGTTCCGGATACTGTAAATCCGTGTACACATTTTTACTTGGTTGCAGATATACTCATCAACCATTTCTTTGTTCCTAACTGGCACATGTTAGTAGATTCTACCGTAAATCAGCTCTTAACGGTCACGAATACACTTTTTTAAGGCCTACATTTTTTCCTTTTTTATTATGTTAATCAGCATACATTACATCATGAGTTTTTGATGTAGTGTTCCATGATTCATTGTTTGCGTATAACAGCCAGTGCTCAATGCAGAACGTGCCCACCTTAATACCCATCACCGGGCTAACCCCTCCCCCCACCCCCTTATACATTTAATTAGTAACTAGAAGCGGTTCGTTGGTTGTGGCAGCGCGCGGAGGCGTTGTGCTCCGAGTACGTCCCGCAGCGGGCCGTTGGCTCCACCCTGTGGCCACCTGTGCACACTGCCACCTTAGCTCGCCTTTCGCAACCTTCCCCAAAACCTGGTAAGAGATCTTGCTTCCCCAGAGCCGGCAGCTGCAAGAAATGGGCTTTAGGCTGGGTCGGCGGCAGCGGCGGCGGACGAGTCGAGGCGAGCAAGGAGTCGTGCGTGCCCGATTCCTCCCGCTATCCAGATGAGCACCCAACTCGTGGGCGGCCCCCAAACCCCGAAGTACTTGTTTGTTCGGGGTTGGCAGGTCTGAGAACCCGGCTCCCCACTGGGTCCGGGCACCAACAGCAGGAAGCAAGGCGGGAAACCAAAAAGTGCGGGTTGGCGGGCGGCTTCCCGGAACTGCATAGCTGAAACACCTCCCTCGAGGCCGGGCCGGGGCCGACCCGCCTGCTCGCAGACCCGGCGGTGGCGCCACCCTGCGGAGAGGAGGACTACGACTGGGAGACCGCGGGAAGGGGATGGGCGCTGACCAGCCGGGAGACCCAAGAGAAAGGTGGCTGGAGGAGACGGCAGCCGGGAAGGAGCAGGTGGGGAGTGAATGACGGCCGTTCAGTCAAGCACAGATGACTTTCCTGCCGGTTCCGCCATCGTCAGAGCCAGGAAGGGACCCCGGGCCCGCAGAACCAGATGGGCAGTGGGCAGGGAGCCCCGCAGGCTCTTCAAGGGCTGCTCTGAAATGCATTCGGGAATCACGTGGCTTCTCCCAAAGACCTGTCAAGAGCTACCAGGACTGAGAACAGGGCCCCGGGGGGATTGGTGCAGGTGGCGGGGAGGAAGGTGGTGGGTGTTGGGGGCGGGGCTGGAGGAAGGGTGTTCTTTCATCGCTTTGAGATTCAGTAGGTACAATACCCAAAAGCCTGCTGGACTTACCAAGGCTCTCGGGCACATTTTGTAATCCCCAGAGCTTACAGAACTAAGTACAACACCCCAGAGGAGAAAGTTAAAGAGCAGAACAGGCAATTGGTTGTGAGAAGGGTGGGTCAGTTTTTCATCTTCCAGGCTCCATACGGAAAGCCCTAAACTCATTCGAGCTTCTACAGGAGTTCAGGCCCATTTCAGAACAGATTGTTCCTAGCCTGAGAAGGAAACCCCAGAGCATATCGACTGGTTTGGGGTAAAACGGGAAGAGTTGGGTCCATTCTACGTCTTTCTTGGCTACCACACAATTGGGCGAAAACCTAGAGCCTTCTGGACCCACCTCCACCCCAGAAGCCAAAGATAGCCTGACCTCCTGAAAACCAGATGGAATGGAGGCATAGTTGGCAGTTGGCTGGAAGGGGTTCAACAGTTCTCACTGCCACCAGGCCAGTTGGAGACAGACCCCATTGGCAGTAAGGGCTGGACAACAGTGGAAGCATGGAAACCAGTTAGGAATCTGGTGAGAGACAATGGTATTTTGGATTTACAGGGAGCAGTGGAGGTGTTGAGAAGTGTTGCATTTGGAATATATTTTGTACGAAGTGCCCAAAAAGCTTGCTGATTGATTAGAGGTAGTGAATGTGGGAAAAAGAGGAATCAGAAACAACTTCTAGATTTGGGCCTGAGCAATAAACTGATTCTATTGACCAGGACCAGGAACTGCGAAAGAGCAAGTTGGTGTAATGGGAGAGAGGAGTAGCAAGAAGCAAAAGTTTTGTATTGGATGTATTAAGATTCCTATTTGACATTTAAGTGTAACTGTTGACAAAGCCATGGAATATGAGTAGAGCTCAGAGAACAATGTTGGAGTAGAGATAAAAATTTGACAATCATCATATATATGTGGCATTTAGAGCCATGGGGTTAGAAGAGACAATGTAAGCAGAAAGTACAGATAGAAAACAGAAAAGGGTCTAAGGCTGAACCCTGGGATGTACCAAATCTTAAAGGTTGCGTAGAAGCGTTGGCAGCAAAAGATGTTGACAAGGAATAGCCAATGAAATAGGAGAAAAACAGAAGAAGAAAGGTCTCAAGAAAAAAAGAGTGATAAACTATATCAAATTCTCCTGAGAAGACTATGGGATTTGGAGTGGGATTGCATTAAATCTGTAGATTTTGGGAGTGAGAGTGAAGGATAGAGACTGACATCATTAAAATATTGACTTTTCCAATTCATGCACATGGTATAACTCTCCATTTTTTATATCCTTGTTAATATCTCTCAACAATCAAATCAAAAAGGATTTTCTCCCTAGAAGTCTTGTTCATCTTTTTGTTAGATTTATCCCTAGGTTTTTCATTTTTGTAAGTTATTGTAAATGGTATTGTTAAAATCTTAGGAAGTGATTATTACCAGTCTCATAGTTATGATAATATAAAAACTGAAAGAACCTAAGAGAACTGTCTATTAAGGTTGGCAATGGAAAGCAGGATGTAAAAAGAAAATTCTAGTAAGTTGAAAATCTGGGCCTCCATAAGGTCTTTTAGGTAGAGACTTCCTTGTTAATGCACACTGGCAGTCAAATGAGATCCAATAAAATTGTCTGCTGTCCTTACATTATTCCTTATTTCTTGGTTTGTTTCTAATTGTAGGGTCCAAGTTCCTAAAAGCTCATCTTTCTGCCTTCCCCATTTCATCTCCTTATCACACAAAGTCCATTACTCCTTACCTCCTCTGCTTAAGAATAAATTGTGAAGAGGGAGCATGTGTTAAAGGGAAAGTTTCCCAAACATGATAAGTGAGTTAATGGAGATAGAAAATCTCTAAGGAAGACTAGAAATAATTGGTTTACACATTCTGGAGAAATAAATTCCCCAAATGTGGTTCTCTCTAAGAAGATAATTTTGAGGAAGCCATGACATGATCTCCAGTAAATCAGCTCTGGAGTCCGGCTGTGACTTTGAAGACCATTTCTTCTGAAAGGGCAGAAAAAGGCCTTAAAGATAAGAAGAAATAGGCATTTGCAACAGGTTTGTAAGAACCATATTTATTTTAGAAAATAATCATTTCTTTCTTTTTTTGAAAATAATCATTTCTTAACTTGAATTCAATCACATCTTGAAATTTCACAGGCTTTGGGTACAACAAACTAAAATTCAAATCTTAACCCTGCACTTAACAGCTTCTTGAATTGCAGTTTTTTATCCCAGTTACCTTTCATTCCACTTTCAAATCTGTATTGTGGCCCATGATATCTAAGATCTATGGATTTGTTTTATTTACCAAAAACCCTTTTATTTGCTTTGCAGGGCTTATTTCACTTAATCTTTTTTTTTTTTAAGACTTATTTATTTATTTTAGAGAGAGAGGGCAGGAGGGAGGGGCAGAGGGAGAGAGAGTCTTAAGCAGACATGTGCGGAGCATAGGGCCCAATGCAGCGGCTTGATCTCACAACCCTGAGATCATGACTTGAACTGAAACCAAGAGTTGAATGCTTAACCAACCACACCACCCAGGGACCCCTATTTCATTTAAACTTAATAGTATCTGTTGCTGTCTTTGTCTCATAATATTTGCATGTGGCTTTTTATCTTTTTTCCATTATCTTGGTCAATTTATATAAATATCGTCTCTTCCCTCAATGTCTGGTGAAACTCTCCGGAGAGTTTCTCTGCTGTTTTTAAGGGTAGGTCTTTGCCTATCTTTTCAGTTTCTCCTATAGCTATTTTTATTCAGTCATTCTACCTTTCTTAGGGCAACTTTGATCACTTGTATTAAAAAGTAAATATTTTGTCTACATTTGCAAATATATGTGTCAAAATACACATACCACTTAAAATATCTTCTATATTTAACGTTGCTGATATAGTAGTGTGCTTTTTCTCTTTCAATATTAAATTGCCAAAGGATTAACCCTTTAATTTTCTTTCAAAGAACCAGATTTTGGCTTTATTGATTAGTTCTATTTTGGGGGAATGAGGAAGTATGATCTATTCATTTCTGCTTCTATCCTAATTTATTCTTCTACTTCCCTCCTGTTTTGGTGTCCCTTTATTAGCTTTATGTTAAAAGCTTTACTTCATTATTTTTAATAATTCTCATTCTCTCATAAATGCATTTTAAAGCCATGACTTTTCCTCTGACCTCTTAATATAAGTTTTAATGTATAGTATTCTCTTTGTTATTATAATTGTATTGTTATTGTATTAATATTGTATTATTATTTGTTACTATTATTGTATATAATTTTAATTTTTTTTTCTCTTTAGTCCATATGCTATTTCCTAACAGTATAGATCAAGGAGAATATTTTTAGTTATGTCCTTGCATTATGATTAGTGAATGTATATCATATAGTTTCAACTTTTCAACACTTGTTGAGCTTTCATTTATCATCTTACACATGGTCAGTTTTTATCAGGATTTACGTGAATCCAAAATGTACATTTTCTACTTTGGATACAGGATGGTGTGGGTATAAGTACAATTATGACTAAGTTTGTTGACCATGTTCTTCAACTCCTCCATATCCTCAGCAAGTTTTAGTCGACTTGATCTGCCAATTCCTGAGACTCTGCTTTTACCCACTATAAATGATTTGCATATACTAATCCAGAAAGATTGATCTATTATGCCCCTTTCCCATCTAAACACATCCCACAATCATAATACCATGAAATACACCTCCCTTAGGCAATGAAAAGGTTTCTTAGGTTTTTTCTCTAGGCCAAGGATTGAAATTCAAGTTTTACCTTGGTTAACTCTCCTGCCAATCCTAAAATTGTGTTCTCTACACACATCTGCTATTTCTGAAAAAAAAAAATTCACTTAAGAATAATTTCTTAGGGGAACTTG